CTCACTCTTTTTTTTTGTTGTATGTGCTTGCCCACCTACCCCACCCCCTGTTACAACAGGAAAAAAAAATAGGGAATGACATAGTCCGCGCGCCGCACACATGACTCCGAATTTGCTCTCTCGCGTATCTCGCGTAAATTGTACAGCTCGGAAAATACAAAAAAAAAAGGTAGCGAGAGAGGGCCATAGGAGACACACACATACCGCGCGAGAGAAAGAAAAAAGAATAAAATAGGAAAAATCAACAATCGAGACTAGTTACATTCGGGCGCGCTAAAGATTTCCTTTGAGAACGGGAGCTAGCTGTATAGCTGTGCGCAGCCCTCGACACAAAATAGCAGCAGCAGCCGAGGCCAAAAGCCTCTCTATACGCATTTACGCGATTCGCATAAATATGCCGGCTCACGTAGCAGCAGCGCAGCACCCACCAACGCCACCAGAGCCACACCAGAACTGCCCTTGCCACTTTATTCGGCTGCGCGGCATTTATCGCAGCGGCAGCAGCAGCTCGAGGTAGAGAGTACGTAGCTCTCACGCATACAAACACATACACACACACACACACTCACCGAGGCACACACGGCATGTACATTTAGATAAAGTAATAGTTCTATGTACATAAGGGAGGACAATAAACCAAGTGAAGTACTCGTGCTGCGTGTTGTATTTGTGTGTACGTGTGTGTGTGTGGAGCGTATAGAAAACGTCCAACTCTCGAATTGCAACTGTTGGTTGCGTTTGTATTTATCGAGTCATTCGATTTAGCACGTCGATGAATGTATATATTTATACGGCGTGGAGGCACGTATTCCCTCTGCTCGCCTATTATACAGAGAGAGAGAGAGAGAGAGAGAGAGAGAGAGAGAAAGAGACCCGTACTACTGCTCAATCCTAGCCACCCGTTCATTGTCATCTTTTTTTTCTTTCGTTTCTTATTTTTATTTTTATGTATTTTTTTTTCATTTCAACGTGACATTGAAAAAACGTAATTTAATGTAGGCTTTTGACGTGGACGAATATATTGCGCGATGTAAAAATAACAAAAACAAGGTTCATGGATGTACATATCGTATACAGTACAATCGGTTAATTGATGTTTACATTTGTCGAATGGAAAGAAAATAATAAATAATGAATAATCATCGCACTCCCAAAAAGTTGTGCGTTATGGATTAATAAAAATTTTTTAGTGCACTAAAAAAAATCACAAAAAAAAGAATCCTGTTACATAATACACGGGTATAGGCCAGGCATTGAACGTCGTAATATATATACGCCTCTGTCATCATTTTGCAATCAGCAGCTGAGCACACGAGTTCACCTATTGCACGGATTATATTATTATACATATCCGCATGATAATGCGCACATGTGTGCATGTGCGCACACGAGCCGGACCATAATATAACGCGTACATCGAGTGGCGCATCAAAGCGTGACGCGGTAATGAAAGAAAATGTTTATCAGCATTGTGTATGTGTGTGTGTGTGTATATTGTGCAGCCGCAGAGGCGGCCTTTCGTGCTGGTGCACACATGCGCGATATAACATTATACTGGCACAATAGCCTGCGGGCCGTTTACAATTTGACTATTATGGTAGTTCGGTAAAAAAAAAAATCTGTCTGTTGCCGCTGAATCAACACAACGGGGTGAACAACAACAACAACAACAACAACAACAACAACGAATCGAGATATCGTTTTTTTTTTATTCGAGCATTTTTTAATTTTAAAAGTGTTTCTTGGAAAATCACCAAGCACGAGTTGTAATATCGGCGCACGAATTAAGTAATGCAAAAATCAGGTCAAGTAATAATTGTTTCTCCAAGCCAAGGCGTATAACAGCTTCAGCTGCCGACCGATCGGCTTAATACCGAGAAAATCTCTACCTCGATATAATCACTCGGTGAGCGCGCGCGCGCGAAAGACTTTCATTGCATACGGTTATACCCGTGTAAATACAGTATATGACGCATTAAAAAAAAAGAGCGAAGAAACCTTGAATTTCTCGTGCGGTACGCGTGTGCACAGCACATTTCGATGAAAATTAATTCGTCCAACGTTGATTGAAAAAATCTCGAGATGTTTGAGTTTTTCTGACGCTCGTATTGCATTGCCTCGACAGACGTACTATTTATCAGCGAGCGCGATCTCGAGAAAAAGAAAAAAAAACAAGAAAGAAGATGCGTGTTGAAGAAAATGACGATGAATTATCGTCACGCGAATTTCGGCTACGTATGACAACTTGCTGAGCTCATATTATAATTACTGGTCTTGAATCGTATAGAGATCGAATGCAGATCTTGAAATGAATCGTCGTAAAAAAAACTCGAAATTAACAATCTTTGTGTAATGCCAAAACTCGTGTGTGCCCGGGTATAAATGGCAAGAAGCCAGTTCATATGCTTGTTCATACAACATATTAAACGAAAAGATGCCGCGGTAGCGATGACAGTAGTATATACATACGTCGTACACACTTATATTTGCGAGGATACCGGAAGCCGCTCGTTAATTACGTTGCCTCTGCTGCTGTTCAATATCATACGCTGCTCATGAGCATGAGACAACAAAACGAGACTGCTCCGTCAATTTCGTTTCCTTTTTTTCATTTTCATCGTTCTTTTTTTTTAGCTCGAAGGAGAATCCGATTCTAGATCGTGCAATTAATCGTCGATGGTTTCAACTAGGTTTCAACGATTAAATAATTGCCTTATAACGTCTTGAAAAAAAAAAACGAGTGCACAAAAATCGATGCGTGGCAATAAGACGTGTGTACGTGTATAAACGCGAGCAATATTTTTACAACCTCTGCGAAAAAAAAAATTACCCGCGCCACGGCGAACAATGAGCTATAAAGACCGCGAAGAATCGCGTGTATAAAAATGGAGGATTTCAATGAAAACAAAAAGTACGCACTACGCGTCGGTGGTATATACATCATTTTCGCACTCGTTAACTCGTGTCCGCGTAACGGCCAAACAAATATCGTTAAACGAGACAGCTCGCGGTAAAGTGTGGTAAACGCGCGCGCAGCCGACGGCATAATTTCAAAACTATAACAATAATGAAATTGACGTAGTCGTCGTGTGCGTTATGGGATAATCGTATATAATGTAGAATTACACGCATCCGTACGCGTGTATATTGTACCGCAAATCGTCGAATGACAGGTGCTCAAAGAGACGACTATATATGCCGCGTGTAATGCAATTATTACGATTTATTTATCGGCGGAAAAAATATTAAAGCTTGTAAGAATTAGATACGGTTAATACGCACGCTCGAGTTCTTCCATAATAATGCCGCTGCCACTTTGGATATAGTCACTTAAATACGTATCCGTCATATCAATCAATTATTATGCATTAGTCTTGTGATATATATTGCAGCAAATTTAACCGCATGCTACTACTACTACTACTACTACTACCGCTGACTTACTGCGTTACATAAGAAAATTGAGGATTTTTTTACTAGTTTTTTTTTTTCGTCAATGACTAGAAAGTCCTCCACGATTATATACAGTTTTGCGCGCGAGGATATATAATTCACCGACTCGTTGCGGTTTCAGCTGGTTTACGCGGAAGATTCCCGGGACTCGAGCAATTATTATTATACTCGAGTTAAGAATTGCAGACACATAATTTCGCGTAATCGTGTGCATAACGACGACGAGTTTGAAAATTACTTACTTATGTGCGCGTAAAAGTTGTTTCTTTTCTCTTTTTCAACTCAACGTCGAGATTTAACTCGCGTGGAACAATGTCTACTTGCGGACGATTCGGACACGTTATAAGCTTTCACGGGGTTGGGGGAGGGGGGGGGGTGGCCTCGAGGTTTTCGAGTGTGCGTTATACACGCGTTTCCAAAACAAACCCATTCGAATCGCAGAGTCGTGCGAGGGGTGGGTGGGCGGCATAGTTTATCGTGTTTTTAGGCCATCTCTCCGCTGAAATGCGGCTGTGTGCAGCAGTTGGCGCGGATATATACTTAACTCCAGAGAGAGAGAAAGAGGATTTCAAGTGGTTAGAAACTAGTCAAGAGCTATTGTCGCGCTACTAAAATAATTCAGAAGTACATTTGCGTACGTATACGTGTGTAACCGTTGATGTAAAACCTTATTAAAATGTTTAGCTGTGATTATACATTTATGCGTATCTCTCTCTCGTGTATAAATACACGAAGAAGGTTGATAAATGCTTTGACTGCGCGTGTTTCGCTCCACTCTCGAGAGACTTTTCGAAGACTCGGGTTTATGATCTTGTTTTAAGGAAATTATATTATACTGAAAATCACAGCGGCATAAAACTGACATAAAAGCAATTATGATCGGAGACGAATATATATAGCCTGCGAAAAGTGTTCTTGCCACTTGGGAGTTTACAAAACTCCATCTGTTGATGGAATCAAGAAATTTCAAGTCATGGAAAACTGTGTTTAAAATTTTTTTTGATGTGAAACATCTTTATCAGCGTTTGGCATGAGGGGTAAACCCGTGAAAAATGAGTGTCCGTTCGTCCATCCGAGCAAGAGCAAATTTGGTAGTATAAGTGTCTATACAGCGTCGATTTGCGCTGCGCGCTGCTATTGGCTGCCGCGCTAGCTACATCGAAATCGATGACTGCTTTCTGCTGCTGCCGAGACTGTTGCTCTCGGGGGCACATATATCGCGAGACTTTACTCACTATCAGGTATATTTTTTGTATTTTATAATTGAAAATTTTATCGCCACTTGCGACTCTACGATACTCCATCTGTTGATGGAATTAAAAAATTCGTGGGAAAATGTGAAAACTTCATTTCATTTAAAAAAAAAAAGAAGTAACCCATTTTTTAAATCGAAATGCAGCTGTATACAATATTCATGTGTACAAATAAAACACTTGTATGTATTACTGTGTATTTACGTGAATTCATAAAGACGTTTCTTTCCCAATGCCGCATGAAATAAGTTTCACTGCAAAAATCGTAATTGGAAAATCAACAGCCAGACTCACCTGGAGAGTGGATCGACGAAGAGGGCGACGATGAGCACTGCGACGAAGACGCAAGTCAGGTAGATGGCCGAGATCTCGTAGATCTCGGAATCGGGCGGCCTGTGGAGATTCTCGTGGCCGCCGTTGCCGATGATGCAGAAATTGGCCCCGCAGCGGCTCACCTTGGCCGCGGTCGCCGTCACGTTGCTCCCGATCTCTTTGAACTCGCCCTCGCTCAGCACTGAAAAATAAAGAGAGAAAGCGATTACTTTGATGAATATAAACGTTGAGAAATGCAAATCTGTCTGGGCAATTATAAAGGGATCTGCGTTCGTTTGTTTGCGACGATAGTATGTTTTACTTTGGGAACCTTACTAATTGTAATTAATTATAATTGGTTAAAGTTAAACTATAATTATCAGTTAAAATGAAATCGAATGGATAAAAGAGTCTATTTTCACCCATCGGGATTTAAAATTTGTACAAATCGATAAGCCAAACTTAATTATAAATTATACATTCTGTTATTTTTATTTTACTTATTAGGTCAATCAATTTACAATCAACTCATTGGTAAATTTTCTCAATTATATTTCAAACTTATAGCTCGAAGACTATAAAAAAAACTCTGTAAATACAGTTTCTTATATCTACTCTCGACTCGCAGCTGTGAATTTCAATTAAAAAATTGGAAATTTTTCCGAATCTCTCTTCGACGTGCTATGTACAAGATGACATCGTAAAAAATGTACCCAAGTACCGTATCGCGCGATGTAATTGAATATTTTTGCGATCGAGGTCCTAGATGCAATTTTTAGTTATCCTCATATACTGCAGCCTGAAGAAGATTGACGTGACAAGCCGATTTTTGCATGAATAGATATCGCGCGCGAGCTCCCGAATTTCTAAATAATGTATTCCGTGGCCAAAAATTTGCAGGCGAGGCACTCATCTTGTTCCTCTGTTTCCGTCACGTGTCAAAATCGCGAAGAAAGGAATAGTATATTACTGCCCTAGGCCGGGAAAAATAGAAAAGTCCCAGGGCGCTTGAAATAAGCGACCGAGACGAAGCCGGGGTCGATTAGCACATGCACTGAGGCTTTCTTTTTTCCCGGTATAGGCCAGTATACGATTTTACATATAAGGCCCCGGGCCCGAAAATAGCAATATCCCGTTTAGCGCAGCGGCCGGGAAATGCTACTTTCGGGCCGCTGGTATGTAAAAAAATATTCATCTCTCGTGCATCTTTGAAGCTTGAAGCTCCTAAAAAAGTTCGCGCAGCGATTTATCGATTACACGACGATGTTTCGACAAAAAGCCCGGCGCAACGAAATATCGACCCCCCCTAAAACGCCACAACCGTAAAATATATTATATATTATCAAATACCAACAACTTTAATATTTGGCAGGTAATATAATCCCCCTTCCTTTCTTGCGTACGTACACACGCTGCGCTATGTTCGCCAGCTGAAATCTCTATCCTCCTCCTAGCCTTTAGCCTCTATCTCTCCTTTTTGGCTTGCGGAAGACATAAGCAAAAGTATAGCCAGCCACCGCTGCCACCGCGTGGTTCAAGGGGATTTATTTATAAAACCGCCCCCCCCCCTTTTCCCTCGCAAGCTCTCTGAAGCTAGCTTGCTTGCACTGAAGCCTTTTCCACCCTCTCTTCTCTTGCTGGAAGCTATATCGCTCATGTGCCTTGCAAACAACGCTCAGGGCGCGCGCAATCGCAAACTAACACAATCCATTTAGCTAGACTAATCCAAACACATCCTCTGCGTGTGTGTGTGTGTGTGTGTGTGTGTGTGTTTCGCGACGAGAGGAGCAGTTGCAGCAAGAAAAGCAGAGGCCGCGTATGCGACAGCTCCATTGAATTATGTATTATGTAACGTTGGGCCGAGATTTTAGGGATTGTTATTTCTATGAATGACATTTTCAGAAAAATATTTCAATTGTTAATCTCAAAAAGTGTATTAGTATTACTACTACTAGTAGTACGATAGAGAGAAATAGACGAAGAGAGATCGAGAAAACTGGTTTAACTTTTCGGACGTCTGTCAGTCATTGGAGTGTACCGCTGCTGCATGGCCGGCTTCAATTACGATTGATAAATCCTATCGAAGGGGGATTTTAACGAATTAGCCCCCGGGTGCTTTTGTGTTCTATATATATTCTGCTCTAGCTCGCACGAAATTAATCCCTGATCCTATTCTCGCTTTAATGAAGACAGGAAGCCGTCGAAGAGACTTATATACATTCTGTGCGTGGACAATTAGAAAATCGAACCACACACCGCACCGCACGCGTTGAGCCTCCTATTGAAAAAAGCAAGGGGAAAAAGATATAAAGAAGCAGTAGGCACCCCCTCAAGTAAAATAAATAAAAACTTCCTTACAAACACGGGATCCGTGCGAGCGATAAATCGGTCGTCGAAGGCCGCGAGACGTTTAAAATTGACACGCCTCGAGAGTGCGATCCGTCAAACAATAGAAAATAATTCCCAGACTTGTCTATATAATATATATTTTAAGCTCGTTCAGACGTACACAACAAAAACATAAGCCGAAAACAGTAGTGGTATAAGGCTCGGAGAAAAGTTGGTGCGCGCCGGCTCGAAAACAACTTCTCGCGCGCACAACGGGGAGTTGCCAAAAACTTCGATTGGCTCAACAGTTGGAGGCGCGAAAACAAAAGACTTATTTTTGCGAGAGAGAGAGAGAGAGAGATAGAGAGGACGCGGACGCGTCGGTGCACGCTCGAGATGAAAAATTCAAAAGAGTGTACGAGGCAGTAGAAGCAGCAACAATCGTAAACAAATCGCAATAATCGGATCGACAATGGTAAATCTGTTTATTTTTTGCAGTAAAATGTTTTTTTTGTTTTCATCGATATTTTCAAGTTTGACGAAGGCACTTGTAGAAATATTCGACAATAATAATGATAAGAAATGATCATTTAAAATTTAATAAAAAGCATAACCATTTTTTTGTTTATTTTTGACGATTTTTTTTGTTGCAATTACATTGCAATGAGCTTATTTCAAATGACCTAAAAATGGCAGTTTTACTTTTTCAAAAACACTAAATATAATAACATTACTTTAAGCCTCGTCCGCTAGGTGGCGAGTACACTTTATTTGTAAATCTGCAAATGGATAAGTCAAGATATCTCTATAAGCATTTTTGGAACAACCCAGGCATTGTAGGTGTTAGTACTACTTTAACTTTAACAGAATAAAATGATAATTCGATATGACTCGGCACGCTCGCTACGCTACAATATTAAACGGTTACAATATCCAACGTTTCATTTCAAAATATATACATCTAACACAAGTATAATACATAAAATATTGAGCATTTCTATCAAGGGGCTTGTTTCGAGAAAATAACTACTGTCTAGCCGAGCTTTGTATTTCATTGTCGATCTGTATAACGAACTGAAAAATTTCACAACCTGATCTTACACCTTCCTCCCAATGAATATTGCAATTTTATTGTACACATGTATACACAATTGTGAATGTATTCTGCTGCTGCTGCTGTGCTCCCGGAGAGCCGGAAAAAAATCACTGCATACGAACAACGCTCGCAAATACTGGTTATTACCGGTTCGATACAGATTATTATATATACTTCTCTCTCTCTCTCTCTCTCTCTCTCTTGTGCGCGTGTATAATGACGCTCGCATATGTATATGCATTGCATGCATGAATATATATACCGTAGTTGACGTACACACAAGATACATAAACTCGATTATTATTATTATTATTTTTTTTTTATTATTCATCGGATTCGTCGGTGGCTAATGATAACGAATCGAACCTCGCGTTAATTTTTCTTTTTTTAATTCGCGCCGTTTTTTGCAATTCAAAATTCCCCCGGTCGAAACGCGAGAAACCACACACGCGATAAAGTAAATATACGCACGCGAATGTGCAGTGGTGACTACGTGCCGTGTTTGCTTTTGAAATAGTTTTTAATTGCCCAACCCCCGCTTGAAACCTCACAGGCATTGCGCAGCGACAGAGTGACGGACAAGTGAAATTCTCTCGCCTATAACCCCCCTCGTTCATCAATCGAAACTTTCGGTATGTCCAGGCGCGCGCGCGCGATAGATCGAAATATGTAAATGTCCGAGGAATCGCGTAGTAGAAATAAAATCAAGTCATAACCGAATTGAATCACACGTCGCGCGTTGCTGGTACAACTCTACGTACGAAGTTATATAGCATTTGTTTATTTGGTCCCCCTGCAGCTCTCGCGTATGCATGATGCAGCACAGTGATGTACGTGTGCCAGCGGCAGTATAACACCGCGCGCGAGATATCTCGTCAACGCTCGTGCACGCGAGTAATAAACATTTGCATTTTTTCGACGTGTCCAGTTTGAATCGAAACAAACAAACGATTCGTAATTCGAGATGTACGAGCGTGCGCTAATTCATATTTCAAAAACGAGCAGTCGCGTGCAACACTTCGGTCTGACCACAGACCGACTCGTTCTACTTGGTATGATGGAACATGGATCGTCATTTCGGGATAGGGTCCCGTCAAGTGGCCATGATGATTATCGACGGTTCGATTATCATTTTTATTCACGAATCTCTCGTCTGTTTTACGTCTCTGGCCTTTTTAACAAGCGCGCACCCTCTACTCGACGTATTTCACGCATTTATGCCGCAGCAGCCATACAAAGAGCGGCAAAATTACGCGGGTGCACGCGCGCCTATGTAAATACAACGTGATTTCTCGCGATCGCGTCGAATCGCGTGTGTTATATGCTCTATCCGTAACGCGAAAATTGTATGCAGCTCTTGTTTCACGCTCGACGCGCGGACTGATTGATTAATCGTATGAATGCTAATATTATAATATGTATATTACAGAAGAGAGGAGCAATTGATAGCTGTCGCGAGCGTACTCGAGATCGACCCTCTCTGGCATTGATGTCATTTAATATAATATTATGATGTAACGCGCGCTGCTGCACTTACGTATTTGTACATTCGCAGCCGTGTGCGTGCGAGCGGCAACATCAGTCGATATTATAATATACACCCGTTACGACGATATCATCGTCCCGTATGTACGCGTATATTTTTCCGGCGCATTTTGCGTACCGATCGAATGCCTTATTCGTCGTATTATAATACGATTGAGGTATTATGTACGAGGGGGCAGTAAATAATGCGCGTAAAAGCTCGGCGCAAAAAGCTCCGTATCGTGTTTCTTTCAAAACGATTTTTAATTAAAGTTGTAAACAACGCACTTTTTCAAATAATTTTAGATCAGACGCGTAGCTAAAAAAAATAGAGATAATTCGTGATGAGCGTTGCCAATTATAAGCTTCGAAATGAACAATACCTGCACGCAGTACGGGTATATATACTACTGCGAAGGAGCTGCTCGCGCGACGCAATTAGTCAACTATTATAATACGCGACTCGAGCTGTACACACGATCCTCTCGCTCGCTCGCGATGCGAAAATATTCACTTGGAAAATCCAAGTGTGCACGAGAGGGTGTGCGGGGCTTGAACCTGCGCGCGGGCATGAAAAATAACTTTTAACGAGCTTTCTTGTGTACAGTGCACTGCAAGCACCGGGGTCAACAGCTACGTATATACACGTACGTACGTGTGTACGTACGTCGGGTAGCCCGGCCCGATGTTACTTTACATGCTTATATATCGAGGATTCATAATTAAACCATAAGAGCCGGAGAGTATGTAGAGTGTGCCCTCCTCCGCAGCACGTGTAACTGGTATACACACGCGTATGAAAGCAATGAGAGCCCGAGAAAGTTTGCCTCGTGCACGCGTACACACAGCCGAGCGGGTACATATTTATATGTATATTTACGAGCGAATGCACACACATGGGTGTATGTGTGTTTAAGTACTCGAGTGCTCGCGGCATGTGTATCGTCGTTGCCGTTGTTTGCCCCTCTGCGTTACGTATTTACGTGCGAGTTAGCCCGCAAACTCATCCAGGCCCAAGAGCTATAGATATTCCAAACGGAATCGCTCCTTTTTCGTCCTCGGATTTTATCGCGCATCCGCAATAAATAATAACGAATATAACGGTTGGTACTCACCGAGCGACGAAATTAGATTTCCCCAGAGCTCGGCCGTCTGCCAGGCCAGAAAGAAGAATCCGAAGAATCGCACCACGATGGCGTCGGCCGGCTCGTCGGTGAGCTTGGCGTACACGCCGCCCACCTGGGTGAGATAGGTGGCCTTGGCGGCCCACATGGGCGCCGCGCCCAGACCCAGCAGCACGCCCGCCGGCACCAGCGTGTAGAAGCGCGGATAGAACTGCGAGCCGATGTAGGGCGCGTAGCAGAGCATCGACAGGCACAGGGTCCACTTGACGGTGAGCCGCTTGATGAGGAAGGTGGGCACGAAGATGCAGCTGAGCACGAGGGCGGCGTAGATCGCCGACAGCGACACGGTGCCCAGGCCGTCGCTGGCGTTGATCGACGACTGGAGATTCGCGGTGCCCTGGAACGCGGTGAACTGCACCATGAACGCGACGCTCACCGTGCCGATGTTCTTGAGGATGCGCCACTTCTCGCCGCGCGACAGCTTGAACTTGCGGGACGACTGGCCGTCGTCGTCCGGCAGCTGGGGCGGTTTTCGCGGCTCCGGGGGCATCTCGTGCAGCGCGGCGGGCAGCTCGTCGTCGCGCTTGAAGCCGCGATTACGGTAGCCCGAGCTGCTCAGGCTGACGTTGCTGAGGCTGACGTTGCTGCTCATCTGGTTGTTGTTGTTGTTGTTGGAGGTGGGGGGATCACCGCCGCCGGGTCCGGAGCCGTCTCCCGAGCCGATGCGGTTAGCGGCGCTGTCCGATACCATTGTTCTACTCGTCGACGTCGATGATGATGATGATGATGATGGCGATGGCTATCGCTGCTGCTGCTGCTGCTGCCGATACCTGCCCCGTCGCTGATGACGATGATGATGATGATGATGTTCGTCTGCCCTGTGGATAACACAATTAACGGGGAGCACAGCGATAAGAGAGTTATATTATAAAGAGGATAGAGAAAGAGAGAGAGTCAAAGCGAGTTGACGTTAATTTTAATTTTATGCCAAGGCCGCAAAAGCCATCCACTCGCACCCTCGCTCTGCTTCTATTCGTGTTGTAGCGTAATCGGGTATATACCGGGTTTTTAGCAGGGCTTTATCGGCATACACACGTGCAGCGCGCAAAGGTCCATCACTGTATATATACATAAAATAATGCGATGCTGCCGCTTCGTTTACAAGGCGCGCAGTAGCTTTGCTGCCCTCGCGTACACATAATATGTATCGAGTAATTAAAACGAATTGAATTTCGTCGAGTAATTTCGCGCTAATGATAACTCATTATACCCACCAGAAAATTTTCGTTTCAACCTTGCATAAAGCAGAGCAGCAACGTCATGCCGTGCTACGCTGACCCTAGCATTCGAGCTTAATTACAGTAGCCCACACGCCTTTAATCAACTAAAAATTATTCATTAGTAGTGCGAGATTTATAATCACTATGGATAATAGAAACATCGTGTCGTAGATCAAACGATTTTATGGCTTATATTGTTGATCGTTTATTTATTTATTGAGTTTTTGATAAAATCGTTACAATGCACTACCGCTGCAAGAAAGTTAATCCAATCTGCTGCTGGCAAGATCGTACGAAATAAAATTAATAACGCACGCAGCTGCTGCTGATGCTGCCGCTACGCACGAGGAAAAAGAGAGAAAATGAAAATTCCCTCTTCGCTAATTAGCCGCCGCCACCGCCGCTGTCGCGCAATATGTGCCGTACATTATACAGATGCAGTTTGATGGGTCCGGCTGCTGCAGCTTGTGTCGCGGATACATGCATGTATATGTATATAAGCGCTCGGGGGTCAATAAACTGGGAAATCACTGGGCTCCACGCACCGCGCGCGCAATATACATAATACGCGACAGCGGAGGCAACTCGATATCTCCGAGCGTGTATGTGACTGTCCGTGCGTGTGTGTGTGTATATAATCTTCCAATGCGTATACACGCATATAGTGGCACAGTGAGTCGTGTGCAGTATCGAGCGAGCTAATATACATGACAAAATAATAATTGTTGTTCGTTATACGCTGCGTCTCCCGGCCACGCGCGCTTGTATACATACCTGTTTGTTGTTTGCTCATTTGTTTGTTGACGTTTTTTTGTCTCTGTTTTTTTCCTTCCGATATTGTATATACACACGTTCGATATACATCGTACGTACATCGCGTGGTATTCGTATTATATCGTATACGGCGCGCGCGTGTGTCTCTCCGAAATCACACGTGCGTTTACATAATTTAAAGAGGTGAAAAGGAAAAAAAGCCACGTTTCAGCCACGTGAAAAATCACCTCGTGTCCGTGTAACTTCGGTCAATTTTTTCAATATCGCGTTTCCTATTCATTTATTATTTTTGAATGCGTGTGCTTCGTTTACGCCTTGCCACAATTGCCGCGGCATTTGGCAATCATTATTGCTGTTCTTCTGTGCTTTCACTTATACTATTATATTCACTTTACCACTTGCTGATTTACGAATGAAAATACTAAGCCATCTAGCGGCGGAGGCTGGCATCAATCATCATTGAATCTTTATAAATTTCTTTGAGCAGCCAAAATAAAATATAAATCAGCATTGAAAAATTAATTTTCGATTTAAATGCATAAATTTAAGTTTTGTTTCTTTTGGCATTAAAACCATTGTATGACACTTCAATTTCATGGATGTTTTAGGCAGTTCGAGTAAAAAAATAATTTCATGTAAAAAGAGTCCTCAAGCAGAGACATCATTTTTTTTATCCAAACAAACTTTTCAGCAGCACGGGAACAAGTTTCCATGTGCAACTTTGAAACGAGAGATACCTTCCACAATTTGTACGTATGCTCCGACTCTCGGGTATGGTTTTTTACGCCGTCGCACGCGATCCTTAACGCGAGGCATATATATTTAATTGATGGCTTATTTCTCATGTCCGCGTTTCGCACCCACACACGTATACACAGACGTAGTAGTCATGGACAGACAGGCAGACAGTCAGACGGGGGGCAACATCGTCGAAATACTGTACTATATAAACGTGACCGAACTTCATGCCAGCTTTAGTTATATATACGTCGTATATGTATGCCAAGCGAATTATACGTGCACGAGTGGACCGTTTGATTGGGCGATATTGTCTTTCTCGCGCGGCCCCATGGCATACGCATATATACATATACACCTATATGTACTTCTACGTTGTGAAATGGAATCGCGCCAGTCTGCGTGCTGCGCGTGAACCGTGGTATAACGTACACATACGACGCATATAATATGTGAGCGTGGCTGAGGGCTGCAGCCGTCAAATTTCCATGACTTTTTCCGCGCACCTGCACCCGCTGCACACCATCGCCACCACGACACGTACGTATCGCGTACACATGCACGCGTTACAATTGCATCTCTCGCGCTGCCAACTTGAAGCAGACCTTAAACTATCTCGCATAGCTGCTGACCGGCCGACTATAATAGATATAGTCCAGTCCAATTAGATCTGACTCTATGTTAAAAGTGAAAAAATTCGCGACCATCGTTTCTCACCGGGATTCGTTAGGGTTCCATGGTAGGAATGAAGTAATAACAAATGCCACAGTTGGGTCGATTGGAATTTCAAGAATTGGGCCCTTTGAAAATAGGAAAATCGGGTTTTCGGCTACAGAAAACCGTACATTTTATGAAAAAAAGTTTCAAACAAAAGTTGTAGGTCTTTGCAAGACCTTCAATTTAATATATATAACATTGTAATTGATTACTTTATTTATTAAAAATGCCTCAATTGTCAATATCAATAAAAGGGACTTACAGACATCGTAAGAATACCTAGGTGTTCTCAAATCAAAGATAATTTCTTCTAATTTTTTTATATACGATAAAAATAAGTTATTTTACAAAAGTAGATAAAAATAAAATTTAGAATTCTTATAATTCATCTTGAGTCTGAGAAAATGATTGGGGATTGTTTCTGAATAAATTGATGCAAGTATTTTTTATTTCAGTAAGCTGCGTAAGTATCATACCCTGGTAGGCACGCACATTATTTATTGGCTAGTTTTTGGCCTACGAAAATCAATTCAATTTTATACTTCGAATTTAGTAACGATTTAATCAACTGTATTTAAGAACTTGAGCTTTTAAATGAAACGCTCGTATTTTTTTTCAAAACCTTGCTTTTACTTATATGATTATTTTTTCTTTTTACCACTTGCAGCTTTGCAGATCAAGGTATTCACCATCTAGTGGTGGATGCTTAAAGTGGTATTATCGATATTTAAAGTGATTGAAACCTGGTCAACGTATCGTTAATGCTTGTACGTATAAATGAATCCGGTTACGTCGCTTTTATTGCTAATAACACTATCGAATTTCGAAAACTTCCAGCTGAGAGAGGTACAAGGTATAATGTTTTCGAAACCACGCTTTCACTTATACGATTATTTTTTTCTTTCATGACTTGCAGATTTACAGATTGGAAGGTTCTCGACATCTGGCGGTGGAGTCTTAAATTAGTATTAACGTATTAAAGTGGTTGAAACCTTATCTTAATTTTTGGATTGTTCAATATGCGCATAATATTTTTAACATGATTATAACAGAAAAACAAGACACTTTATGATAACTAATTTAAGACGATGGAAGATCATGTTTTTTAAAAAATTTCAAATTGTCAGTTTTCATTCTTAGATCCTTATAAATATCGGGCTGTACTATTAGGGCTAAGATTGTAGAATAAATAGTTGTGTTAATTGAAATATTTACAATATCGTGCTTTTTTGCATGTTAAAGTGAACCTGCTCTACGAAACTTTTTTTTCTGAGTAAAATTTATGTGTCTATTTTTCGATGAAAATTTAAATCAATCAATCAAACTCCATGGCACGAGCTAGGCAATTTTTATACCCATTATATATAGTAAGCAGTCGAGCCGCATCTTGCGCGAAAAAAAACGAGACACATATCTCGCGAGTTAATTTTTGTTTTTGGCATAGTTTTAGCTTTGTATACGGCATAATATGCATACACACACATATACAGAACATATACAGCGCATAGAAAGCGCATAATTTGCATACGCATTGCGCGTTTACGCCGCTACTCCGGCGCGCGAGCTCAATTTATCGAATTTTCACACTCTCGAACGTTCGATATATGTCTATGTATACTATGAGCGTGCTTATAAGAGAATATGAATTCCTGGCTCAACTTCTTTTTCCGCCATGCAGCCGGCGAATTAGCCGCGTAATAAAAAAGAGCCTCGCGCGCGCGCGAGATTTTCTCACGACGAGTAGTATATAAGGGGCGCGACAGAAAGGAGACGATTTTCTTTTCATTTTTTTTTTTTTTTCTATATTCTTTCATCTCTTTCCCTTTTTTTCGGCACTCGAGGCTCTTAACCTCGAATAAGAGAAAATATATAGAAGATAGAGAGAGAGAGAAGGAAACGCAATTGTTGTAACTTTTCAAAGACTCGCGCGAGAGCGAGGCGCGCACTCGAGGTGGTGGTGGCGGTGCAGGACAAAAGAGAGGAGGGCATCGTCTCTCTTTCGTAGTCGGAGAAGGAGGGACAATATTTAACTGCTCGCGAGAAGATAACTGCTTGGAAACGTTGTGTTGTGCAAAGCGTCGAGTCCGTGTCGTCGTCGTCCTTGTCGCGCCAACCCAGTCATTTTCATATATATAATAATAATAATAATGATGATAATAATAATGACTATGATAATAACAGTAATGCGCCGCCGACTTGGTCGCTGTCCGTCGGGAAATGCCGCGCGCGCCTCCTCTCTTGTGTCCCTAAACTCAACCGAGTGTAACGCGCAGAGCTAGCTCGGTGCTACTACGATGCTGTCACCGTGTATGTATATAGCTATATATA